TGTGTGTGTGTGTGTGTGTGTGTGTGTGTGTGTGTGCGCGCTCTCCTTCCACTCAGGTGCTGATATGTGTACACGATGAGCGGACTGGGGGAGAACTCCATGGAGCCTCTGAGCTCAGAAAACCGGAAACGCAAGCTCTCCACTTGCGACACGCCTGGTCTGGGGTGAGTTTGTCTGATAAGCACAAGCGAGGGGAAAGTGGGCTACTGGGTCAGTGGTTTCTGTCGCCCCGGCCATGGGGCTCCTTTTGTTGATGTATGCTCTGACGAGTAAAAACCAAACTGAGTGCACAATGATTTTGTAGCTTAGGTAGAAAAAAGCATTTCATGAATTCAGTTATATGATTTATACACTGACACCAAGGAACATGACAATTTAATCCCAGTCGAGCCAAGCAAGTGATTCAAGCTGAAATAATGTCCCTCCTGGTATTTTTAGTTTTCAACATAAACATTCGCAAATTTATGCAAAAGAGCATAAAGAATATGTCGAACCATTTAGAAAATTCCAATTTTGGATTTGAAATATACACCTATATTCACTTTTATGTAAAAATGTGGATATTGACATTGCTCTCATGTCTGTAATAATAAAGCCAGAGCAAGCAATTTGTTAGCTTAGCATCACAGCTGAAAATGGCCTGCCTCTGTCTGAAGTTAATAACTAAAGTGCACAAAACCCAAAGTAAAATAAAGCTGCCTGTGGACATTTCCAGACATTTTACAAATGGGCTGTATGTTCCAGCGACCAGTACTGGAACTTTCACTGATACTTAGTATGTAGGGTGCTGATTTGATTCGAATAGAAATAAGTACATTTTCCCAATTTTTTTTGTGTCTTTAGGTTTATTTCAGTTGTTCAATTACCAACATCAGAACTTAAAAGTGCAGCTTTCAAGTGCAGTGATTCTGTAAAAATCTTCAGCCCACAACCAACTTTTCTTTTTGGTGTTTAACTGTGATCAGAGAGCAATAAGTTGCTGAACAATTTTCTGTCTTAGCAGCCACTCTGTGTTGTTTTTAAATATAAAAAACATCACAGGCAATTTGGTGAAAAGTAGGGTAGCATTAGCTCAGCTTTAATCTCTGCATGTTGGTCCCTGCAGGTGTGACAGGAAGCGTCGGGAGCAGGAGAGCAAATACATTGAGGAGCTGGCAGAGCTGATCTCTGCCAACCTCAGCGACATCGACAGTTTCAACGTCAAACCAGACAAATGTGCCATCCTCAAAGAGACGGTGCGCCAGATCCGGCAGATCAAAGAGCAGGGTGAGTGGACACAGTCGTCTGAAAACTGAAGGCTGGAGCCAGACAGCTGCAGCCGCACGTCAGCCGGACTGTTAAGAAGTGTGTGTAGGAAACATGAGGTAAAGGGTTGAGGAGAGATGGGGGGGGGCAGTTTGGGGTTAGCAGACACACTCATGCCTCAGAGCCCAGGTGCAAGGACGAATCAGTCATTCATCTCCCACAAATTTCACAGCCTCAACTGTTTATGTTTGGGAGGAAACATTGGCAATGCTTTGTGAAGCTGTCATTTGTGTGTGTGTGTGTGTGTGTGCGTGTGCGTGTGTGTGTGTTATGTGCATGGCCAGCTGTGCACTGGCCTCACCAGGGGCTGTTTAATTGGACGTTTGCAGGTAATCACATGCCCATCCATTCTGCTGAACTGCCAAATTATTAGTTCTGTTACAGCTGCTGTTGTCGTACTTCTGTCTCCATTATGCAGCAGTGGTTTCTGCAGTGAACTGTCTAAAAAGCTGCAGGCTGAGACGTTTGCGTTGCAGATGCAGCGTCGGTGCAGAATTGACACTTTTAATTCTCGCCATGCAGACTTGTGTGTCTGTTTACTTTTATTTTCTTCGTTCAAGGTGGATTTCAGGGAGGGCGGAAAGAGCCGGTGGTGAATTTTGCTCTTGTGCTTCTGCTTGGCTCAGTCAGTGTCTGCCACCTCGACAGGAAGGGGAAGAGGCTACAGCCGGCCCCGATTGGCTGCTGACAGGTTGCCATAGTTACAGGAAGTGAAGACATAATGACACGGGCATTTAGACTCGTCTCTCGCTCTCTACCTGTTCCTCTTCACCTCTCCTCACTTTCTGTGTGCTTTCTGCCAGTTTTCATTTTGTTCCCTCCCCTCCAACCATTCCCAATCTTCATCTCACTTGGATTTAATGCACCCTGCTCTTGCCTCCTCCTCCTCCTCTGCTAAGTATCCCCCCCCTTACACACACACACATATGTCTCATCTGTATTGCAGCACAATGAGTTGCAGCATCTCCAGGTTTGCCTCCAGCATCTTAAGGTATTGAGTGAACTGATGGAGTGCAGCCTCTCTCGTTCTGTCTCACTCTGTTTATGTCTCATTCTCGCTCCTCTTCATCTCCTTCTTTCAGTCCTTCTCTACCTAACTTCACAGAACATGGCTGTAGGCAGCGATGGCAGTTTTTTTTTCTTTGTGTGGGTATCTGTGCCCCTTGGGAGCTAATCAGATAGAATGATTCCTGTAGCTGAGCAGCCCCCGCCTCTCAGACCAAGCCCTGTATTAATACAGCAGCCGTTTTCCCATCTCCGTCCACACCACTCTGTCTCTCTTTATCTGTCTGTCTCTCTTTCCCTCTGTCACCCTCAGCCCCTCCATTAATTCAGGTGTCTCAGCTCCTGCCCCTGCACCATTACAGCTTCCACAACCTCTCCGGCTCTCTCCCGTGCTCCCTCTCCCTCTCCCT